GCAGCAGAGAGCACTGAAGACTGCAGAGACTCGAGACCTTTCGTTTTCTTAGCTATTTTTAATATTAAATGTGTATAGTTTATTAATAATTTTTTATTAATATTGTCAGATGCCACACAGTGACTTCCATTTTAAGTAAATTAAGTTGAATCAGTGCTTTGAGATGAATCAATGTTTTGAATCAGACCATTAAAACGAATCAAATTTCTCAAATCTATTTTTTGCTGCTAGGTTTAAATCAGAAATATTAAAATATTCTCTGTATTTTGCAAAATATTATTTCAGACTTAATGAAACTTTTAAAAAAGCCTGTTAATATGATATTGATATCCATGGTGTTGCGTAATTTTATATTGGCAACATAATAATAATAATAATAATAATAATCTTCATCTTCATCATCATCATCCATCATCATCATTATAATTATTATTATTATTATTACTCTTGTTGTTGTATATTTATTATTTGTTATATTCATAATATTAAATGTTTATAATGTACTGTGTATTAAACTTATATTAAAATGTATTTATATTTATCATTTTTAAAGCATGTCAGATGGCACATATTGACTTCCATGTTTAAGTAAATTAAGCTGAATCAGTTCTTTGAAACAAATCAGTGTTTTGAATTAGAAATTAATGAAATTCTCAAATCTGACAGTTTTTGCTAGGTTTAAAGCAGAGATGCTGTTAAAACTGTTACGTAAAATATTCTTTCAGTTTTTATGAAACTTAAAACACATTAAAATAATTATGACATTCCTGATATTGTTTAATTTCATTTTGGCAACATTTTTCCTTCATTAAAGTTAGAATGTTAGAGAGAATCGGAAAGAGGTTGGAGGAACTAGTGAAGAGAAAAGAGAACTCTTCAAAGCGCCTGACTAAGAGGATTGGCTAACTTTTTGGGCAAAATTCAGAGGAAAGCAAACACTCCTGGGTAGAGTAGCTGAATCTCAACTCGATTTTAAGTACTAGCCAAATGTTGAGGTCACAGAGAGATTTGTATAGCTCGATATGTGGGAGGTGGAGGAGTTTCACACAAATACCAAAAATATAGAAAGAAACAAGCTTCTGAAGAGAACAGAGAGACAGAGATGTGAGAAGACTTTAGCTTGGCCTCGGGCAGCAGAGAGCACTGAAGACTGCAGAGACTCGAGACCTTTCGTTTTCTTAGAAGTTGATGCTGAATTGTCTCCAGGGAAGCAAAAGATAGATTAAATCAAAGAGCCGAGCTTTTCTGGTTCTGGATTACACATGCACTGTTCACACACCATTTGCACTATCTGTCTGTTTTCACTTTCAGTATTCAGTCCATCATTTTTTTTATTTATTTTTTTACTTTTTCAGTAACACTGTCCAGAAAAGAAATCTTAAAGTTTGTGTTCCTTTTTTCCCCCTCTGTGCACCCCATTGCAAAACAAGGACATATGCATTGACATTCACTGTCTCTATTCGAAAACTCAATTTTACAGTTTTGCAGTCATAAGAGAATCTTTTTCATAGGAAACATGAAGTTCCTATGATAGAGTGCTACTCGATTCAATTTATTTAATTTAATTGTATATATATATAATTTTTTTCCCCATAAATTATCAATTTATTATTAAACAAAAATAAACAAGTCACTTGACAAGTAAATACACATTGAAAGCCATTTATTTAATTTTAAATGTAGTGTTATCATCTAATTGCTGGCAGCCATTGTGCATTAAAAGGGCATGTCATTATAATATAATATAATATAATATAATATAATATAAACAGTTGAATTACATTTTACATTATTTTTAAATACATATTTAAAAAAGCATTTGTAATTTTGTTAAATTTAATATTGAAGTGGCACTCATCCTCTGTAGCCATATTATACAATACATTATTTTATTTAAAAAAATATATATTTATTTATTCATTTATTCATTCATTCATTTAATTTTTAAGTGGCACTCCTCATCCTTTGTAGCCATAAGAGAACCTGTGAGAATCTGCTTTAAATCAATCATTCAAACAATCAATTTTTTTGTATATTTTTATTTTAAACATTAATAACCCTGTTTGTTTGTTTATTTATTTATTACAATGCTTTTATTAAAAAAAATAATAACACTTTATGTAAGCATGTATGTATTAATTTATTTATATTTTGGGATGGTGATGTACAAATTTATGGTTACATTTTGACTTACTGATATGTCAGCAGCATTGTTGCCCTTGAGCAAGACACTTGCACCGGGTGTTCTTTACCTGCAGTAATGTAACCTTGAATAAATAGTGTCTGCCAAATGAGTAACAGTTTTATTCCGCAAAAGAACAGCACATATATTGATATAAGTTAGTCAGGGACTGAAGTCTCACAGAAGCATGTTGTAACATGGCTGTACAATCTGCCACGCTCACAGTGCCGCAAGGCGCTATTTTAGATTAATGAGTCCCGCCAGGCACGCGTTTAGCCTCCCTGATGGTGAAAGTGAGAACAGAAGGAAAGATATTTGTTTTCAGATGTTTCTCAGTTCGGCCTGAAATCCTCAGCTGGGTTTGCAAATGAAGCAATACTCCCTCATTGTCAAGCACTATATCAAGGAAATCTCACTTTTCATCTTGAGATGTGCATGCAGCTTTGATGATTCCTTTTCCTGGTCCTTCTTGTAAAGGTAATTTTAGTGATGTTTACTAAGGAAAGTATCACTATGAGCAAACACCACTAGAAACCACTCAGAAGACATGACTAACACCTTGGAATGCCCTAGCAACCACAAGCAATACCCTAGCAACCACTCAGACCACATGACTAACACCTTGAAATGTCCTAGTAACCATCCAGAGTACCTTAGCAATCACAGCATAGAAATGTCACCATAATTGCCCAAATTAGCCAAGCAATCACCTAGCAATAACAAGCAACTAACCAGAACACCCTAGATACAACCTAGTGACACCTTCTCAACCACCTAGCAATGCCCTAGCAACCACCTTGGTAACTGAACAGTAAAGCATCACTAAAAGCCACTCAGAACACCTTAGCAAACACATAGCATCATGATGCCAATCCTCCTGAACACCTGAGCAATGCCATAGCAACCACGCAGAACACCCTAGTAACTGTAGAGCAAAGTGCTAACAACCACCTAGAATACCATAGCAACTGCATTGCAACGTCATTCCACCCAAAGCACCCTAGTAATGCCCTAGCAACCACCCAGAACACACTAGCAACTGGACAGCAGAGTGCTAACAACCATTGAGAACACCTTAGTCACCGCATAGTGACGTTACTGCACCTAGAACACTCTAGCAACTGAGCGACTGTAGAGCAAAGTGCTAACAAGTATTGAGAACACTTTAGCAACCGCATAACAACATCACTCCACCAAGAACACTCTAGCAATGCCTTAGCAACCACCCAGAACACCCTAGCAACTGAACAACTGGACAGCAAAGTGCTAACAACCATTGAGAACACCTTGCCAACTGCATAGTAACATCACTCCACCCAGAACACCTGAGCAATGCCCTAGCAACCTAGAACACCCTAGTAACTGGAAGGCAAGTGCTAAAAACCAATGAGAACACAGTGGCAACCGCCTAGTGATGTCACTACACCCAGAACACCCTAGCAACTGGACAACAGTGTTAACCACCACTGAGAACATCTTAGCAACTGCACAGTGATGTCACTACACCCAGAACACCCTAGCAACTGGACAACAGTGTTAACAACCACTGAGAACACCTTAGCAACTGCACAGTGATGTCACTACACCCAAGAAAATAGACGGAAAAGTGCTAAGAACGACTGTAAAAACTTTGGCAACTGCATAGCAACATCACTCCACCCACAACACTCAAGCAATGCCGTTGCAACCACCCAGAATGCCCTAGCAACTGGACACCAAAGTACTAACAACTGCTTAGAATACCTTAGCAACCATGTAGTGATGTCACTACACCCAGAACACCCTAGCAACTGAACAGCAAAGTGATAAAAACCATTAAGAACACCTTGGCAACCGCATAAGGATGTCACTACACCCTAGCAACTGGACGGCAAAGTGTTAACAACCACTGAGAACACCTTAGGAACCGCACTTTGATGTCACTACACCCAGAACACCCAAGCAACTGGACAGCAAAGTACTAAGAATCACTGAGAACACCTTGGCAACCTCATAGCTACATCAATCCACCACCAACACCCGAGCAATGCCCTAGCAACCACTCAGAATGCCCTAGCAACTGAACACCAAAGTGTTAACTACCACTGAGAACACCTTAGTAACCTGTAGTGATGTCACTACACACAGAACAACCCATAAACTGGAAAATCAAAGTACTAACAACTGGAAGGCACTATCTATTTTGTATTTTTGTGCTTGCGAGTTTTGCATACCTCTTTTCTCACCATGCATTCACTGATGGGGGTTTGTGTTGAATGCTGGGTAATTTATTCTAAACGCAGTCAAAAGCACTGAAGCGAAAGATGCATGCTAAGAAACACAGACTCATAAGTCACCCAAGCTCCCGGGCAAGATGCGTGTATGTGTGTGTTTGCGCGTTTCACCATGTGATTATGAGCAAGTGTTTTCTGCTTGGGGTTTGTGCTGACGATGTCTCTGTGAATATGGTTAATCTAGATGTAGATATCTCATGAGATATTGCTCTGTACATCCATACAGCGTTGTGAGAAAATATTCAATCCCTTAAGCAAGTGTCTTATTTACTCAATTACAGATCAAACAGGAAATTTTGTTCCCTTTGATACTTGAATTAAGAATTATTTTAGTGTGATATTGTTTTATGTTGAAGATACTGTGCGTAGTATGCACATTATATGTTTCCATTTGAAGCACATTCATTATAATGGACAGATTTTTTTCAACTAAGATGATATGTCTAACTGCTGTCAGCATACTTTGTACATTATATATTGGCTGTATTTTAGTCTGAAATATGACTACAGTGTTTATCTTTCTCTCTTTTTCTCTCGGTTGACAGCACCTATCCAGCAGACACAGCGTCCAGCAAAGCACATCCCAGGTATATTTGTCATCCACAGCACCATCTGAGGACTTGTCAGGAATGCTTAGAGTCATTAACTTATAGAACTTTTTGTAGGTCATGGTTCACCATGGGCTAAAATGTGACATTTTGACCTTGTTTACTCTGTTTTGGTCATGCTAAAAGATATTTTACAGTTATGTATAAAACACTAGTTTGAATATAGGTCATTAGTAAAATAGGCACATAACATAACAACAAACAACATAACATAACATAACATAACATAACATAACATAACATAACATAACAACATGTAATGCCATGCCACAACAAAATATAACATAACATGTAATGCCATGCCACAACATAACATTGCATGTAATGATATACCACAACATAATATCACATATCACATAACATGTAATGATGTAACATCAATTTGTGTTATAGATTTACATGTTATATTGTTATATATTATGTAGTGTTGTTTTATATCATGTGGTGTATTGTTACATGTGGCATATCATGCTGTGGTATATCACATCATGTGAGATTTGGATACATGTTATGTTATAATGTTACATGTTATTTTATTGTTATATGTTATGCAATGTTGTGTTTTTATATCATTTTGTGGTATATTGTTATGTGTTATGGCATGTCCTGCTATAGTATATCACACCATGAGATATATGGTTACATGTTAAAGCATTGCATGTTATATCATTATATGTTATTCAGTGTTGTGTTGATATATCATGTTGTGGTATATCTTTTTGTCATTGCATGCTGTGGTGTATCAAATATCATGTTATATATGGTTACATGTTATGTTATAGCATTACATGTTATATCGTTATATGTTTTGCCATGTCTGGCTGTGGTATTGTGTTACATGTTGTTAAAAACGTGTTACATTGTTATATGTTATGCAATGTTGTGTTGTTATATAATGTTGTGGATTATTGTTATGCCATGGCATGCTGTGGTATATCACAAGTTGTGATATATTGTTACGTTATAGTATAGCATTAAATGTTACATCTTTGTATGTTTTGCCATGTCTTGCTATGGTATATTGTTACATGTTGTTATATAAAAACACATGTAACAACACATATAACATAAAAATTATCAATATTAGATAACATCATGTCATGTCATGCTGTGGTATATCAAGTCATGCGATATATCGTTGTATGCTATGTTATAGCGTTACATGTTATATCGTTATATATTTTGCCATGTGTTATATCATGTTGTGGCATTGTTACATGTCATAACATCACACATGTAACTATATAACTTAACGATATAAGATAACATAATATACAATACAATGGCATGTAACAATATAACATAACATAATATGTAATGATATAACATAACATGAAACAATATACCTTGTAACATAACAGCAACATAAAATAATGTCACAATATTCCATAAAATGACCTTGCACATACTGTATTATCATATGACACATAACAACATTACAAAATAACACTATAACATATACTGTAACAAACATCTCATGACATAATGTAAAGCTGTTGTTCACTCTGTGTTTTCAGGATGGCGGAAGACAAAGACACGGGGATTCGTGTCGAATGCCTGTGCCGCACCATCTCTTTGTCAACCTAAAGAGCTTCACATACAACACCATCGGCGAGGACACAGACATCTTCTTCTCTTTGTATGACCTGAGAGAAGGCAAGCAAATCAGGTAGGAAGTGTGTCATTTATAAGTTTGTATACACATTCAACAGTTGTGCCCCTTCACCACTCAAGCTTTTTACAATGAAGAGACTATCACTGGTAATTATTCAAAAGGAACAGAAAAAAAAACGTACATGAGGTCCCATAAGCAAAAAATTAAGCCATCATTTTTAAAATATCAAGGTCTCGGAAATGAAAACTTGTGCAAATACCGCCTACATGTACATAGGCCACTTTTTTATTTTTTTATTTTTTTACAATAATTCAAAATGCCATAGAGAACTGTGAAACTACAGAAAGATGAAATAAGGACAAGAGACCTTGATGAAGTATTCATGTAAAAGATATCTTCACTTCAACTATGCTATTAAGACATCTTAAGTTTCAAGTAGCATTTTCAAGGAAGAGGACAACCTAAACCAACTCTGTCTCTCCTAACTAAAACTTGTTACCAGAATATCACACTGTTTTAGATTAATTTTACAGCCAGATTTTAAGACTGCTAGATTTTTGTTCAGCATTGGCACTGGAAAAACGTGTCTCTACCTACATTTTTTGCAAAACTCCAAAAACTTACCTAGACATAACATTATCTGCAGTTTCCAGGAGAAATTTACACTAGTGGCAGTAAAACACCAACGACTTTTATTCCTTTTCATACAATTTATGATACAGGAGCAGATTATTGATTAATAAAGATATTTTTGTGCAGTTCCTTGCTATACTACCAGTTCAAAACACTTTTACCATACTTTTACAAGCTCCTTATGTAGGGTACAACGGAGCTAAAGGCACACCTTAAGAAAAAATGTGCTTTTCACTACACCCATATTGTATGAT